TCAGTTATTTTCATATGCCTGCTCCCTTCTTCTCACTCTATTGACTGTATTCTCCTACTTTCGTGCTTTGTATATCTTTTCTCTACCTTCTGCCTTCTACTTACTCATAATTTTGGTTTACTCATAAATTTGGCTGTCACAGTCTCGTCTATTCTATATATTTCCATAAATCTTCACTGGCTTTCTCTGACAGCTGTAATATTCCTTTTTTTCAAGTTTAAATTCCTTTAGAGGATGATTTTTTTTTCATGTCAAAGCACATTATATATTGCTTGCTAGACTGTGGATTGACTTCTTGTGAGTTGAATGATCACTTTGGTCCAATCAGCAGGTGCTGCCCTCAGTTTGAAACTTTGCTGCCTTGGGCCATGCCAACGCTGTGGGCATGGGCAGTCTCCATTTGGAGGGTCTGCTGGCGTGTGTGGTGCCATCATTACCAAACTGAGCTACTATAGAATCTCCCTTTTCTTCTTTATGTATAATACAATGATCGCAGCTTTCAAAGCAATGGTCTAGAAGCTCCTTAACATCTAGAAAACAAATTTATGTTCAGTAGAGTATTGGTGTTGTTTATTTTAATAATTTCTTTATATTTTATATGGTAAGTCTTAATTACCTCAAACTATTCCATTAATTGGGACACACCAATTCTCAACAAAAAACAATTATTTCTGTATTGAGAAATCTTGGAGTTTTAGGAAAAAAGTTTATTTCCTCCTCAGCTGTGAAATAAGAGATGTCAACAAGCTGTGGTAAATTACCCCTTATGGACCTTTACTATGTATGTTTTTTTCCCTTCAAGTTTCTAGCTGGAGCCAATCGCAATTTCTGTTGATCTGCACTCAGTTGTCAAAGTGTATTCCTGATTGTATATTAGGAGGTAAAAGCTTCTCAACAAAATATGTGATCTATGAAGCAATGCTAAACCTTCCATTAGAAATGAAGTCATGGAAGTAGGAGTGATTGCACAGGAGTTGTATCTGGAATATTCTTACACTTCAGGGATGATTCATCAGTGTGTAAATAATTTGATTATAACATGATTAAAGTTTTAGGAGTAAAGACTTTTCAAATCTTACTACTGTGAAGCACACTTACCTTTTTAACCTTACTTAATATTTCCTGAGTACTGTCATTTGTGCTACAATAGTAAGTCTAAATTGCACAGTGAGCAATCTGATTGGCTGCTGAAAGAGTAACGAAGAATATAGGGCTCAGGAGTGTTCATTGTAAAATTCAGTTAATTCTATAAAAAAATTGAGTGCCTTTAGGTACTATGAGTCATAGTGCATTGCTTAAACACCAAAAAATACATATAGTTGGAACACTGGACTGGTGGGCTAAAGTGTGGCTAGAAGGGAATCACTATTAATCACCTGCTGTGTACCAAGCATGCTATATGTGTCTATGAAACACTTACAACACTCATTTTACAATGAGTAAGTTGGATTAACTACTGCCTAATGTCTAAGCGAAAGACCTGGAGTTCAGTTCAGGCACGATTCTTTTGTTCATGTCCAGAGTTCATTATCTACTGGTGACCTGCTGCTGCTTTACTTGGACTTCTCTCTGAATTCTCCTCAGTGAATGATGATTTCTTCAGCTCTTTAATGATAGTTTCAGCATTCCAGAAGGCGCAGTCAGTGTGCACGGTAGAAGAAGGATGAGATAGAAAAGTAACCTTTTACTTCTTACTGATCTTATATTTTAGAACAAATTTCCAGTGGCTATTCAAGAAAGAGTTCTAATCTACATTCTCTAGTAGTGTGCTTAATCATAAAATTTCAGAACAATGAGCGACCTTAGGAAGTCATGTGGTCTATATCTCTCAAACTGATTTATTACCTTAGGCAATGATATTCAGCTATAATTTGGTAACATTCCAGGGTGAGTCCAATAATATAAAAAACAAAATTTAAAAAGTAAATGTATGCCTGAATATTGGGTTGGTATATATAAAAAATAAGTAAATCAACTTGGTCTAAATATTATTAATCGAATATTTATTTAAACAATGTCAGAATATGCATTGTTTTTAGGTGCACATGAAACATTTTCTGAGATAGACTATATGCTGGACTATAAGACAGTTCTCAGCTGCTTTTAAAAAACTGAAATTATGAGATTTGTTCTATGACCATAACTGAATTAAATAAATTATCAAAAACACAATAATCTTGAGAATCCTGAAATGTTTCTTTGGATATTAAACAATATGCTCTAAAAAAACATGGGTCCAAGAAGAAAAAGCTCGAGACATTAGAAATAGAACTGAAGTTTTAATGAAAACAATATAACAAAATGTGTAAAATGCTACTAAATCAGGGCTTAAGAGATATATTTATATCTTTAAATACTTATATTAGAAAAGAAGAAGATTTAAAATCAATGAGCTCTGCCTCCACCATTAGAAGATAGAAAAAACCCCCAAAGTAATTAGAAGAAAAAAATTATAATAGAAGAAATTAATGAAATAAAAATCAGATAAACATTAGGTAAAATAAATAAAACCAAAAACTAGTTGTTTGAAAAGACCAATACAGTTGATAAAACCCTTACCAGATTAATTATAAAAAGCAAAGTAAATCAGTAATGTCAAGACAGAAAGAGGAACTATTGCTACAGGTTCTACAGACTTTGAGAAGATAATGAGGATAGTTATAAAAAATTTTATGCTAACCCTGGCTGGTGTAGCTCAGTGGATTGAGTGCTGGCCTGCAAACCAAAAGGTTGCCGGTTTGATTCCCAGTCAGGGCACACGCCAGGGTTTTGGGCCAGGTCCCCAATGAGGGGCGAATGAGAGGCAACTGCACATTGATGTTTCTCTCCCTCTCTTTCTCCTTCCCTTTCCCCTTTCAAAAAATAAATAAATAAATCTTATAAAAAAGCTTAATGCTAATCAGTGTGACAACTTAGATCAAGATGGACAAATCCTTGAAAGACACCAATTAGCAAAATGAACTGAAAAAGAAAATTGAAAATAAGAATAGATCTTTATCTATTAAAGAACTTGAATTCATAAATAGAAATCTTGCTTCAAATGAAACCTTAGCCCTAGATAGTTTTACTGGTGAATTCTAGAAAACATAAGAAGGAAATATTCCCAATCTTATACAAACTCTTCCAGAAAATAAAAAGAGAAGGCTAAATTCATTTTATAAGAGTAGGCCCACATTACTCTACTATAAAACCAGACATTATGAGAAAAGAAAACTACAGCTCAATATTCTTCATGACGATAAACACAAAAATCCTTAACAAAATATTAAAATTTTTTTTAGAATACTTGTTAGAATCACTAAGTGGGGTTTATACCAGAAATGCTAATCCTATTTACAGCCAACACAGCTGAATGGGACTTTTAAGTTGGTACAAAATTTAAAAAATTACTAAGTGTGAGTTTTAAATTGTTTACTTCTAAATATATCTCTAGTTTTACTAAACTTATAAAGTTTCACACCACAATTCTTGTTTAATTACTGCTAAATATATGTGATACAGTTCTTGTCCCTTGTTTTTTAGGACCTTCCTATTAATATTGGTTTTGTGCTCCACTTGACAACAGTTTTTATAACTGAGAAGAAAATGGAGGAAAGTAAAAGAAAAAAATTTTAATTATCACCTGCTTTTATGGCCACAGGATAATTTTTCGATTTAAGGCCACACATTGAACAAACACAAATCTTGAAAAATTAAAAGTATAGTGTTCGTTCATGGTAAAACATCTACTTAATGTAAATTAGTAAATCTCAAGCTTGGAGAAAACAATTATTAAGCTCTTGATAAAACATCTCCACTCTGTATGATTTAATAATAACCAAGTTAATGGAAAGAGAACCAGAGAGGATCAATAACTTGTGAATTCTAATTTGGGCAAAACGGCTGTAGGACATTTGGCAAGTAACAATACCTTTGGGCCTTGCTTTTTTAATCTATAGAACAAGAGGGCCCAATTAGACATTCTTTATGGTTTCCTTCAGTTTTAAATATATAGGAGTCCAAAATAAATTTTACCACTCTTGAAGCCGTAGAAATAAAAGTAAAGTCCACTCTAAACAGAAGGTGGCAGTGTTGTTGAAGAAAAGGCCTAGATTTTAATCCTAGTAAATTCAGGTGGATTTCTGTACATGGTGTCTGTACTTAGATAAAATTAGTATGGTAGCAAATTAGTGACAAACCACTAATTTAGCAGGATTAAGATATCCTGTTACAACAGTTATATGTTTTTCTGAGGTTGATAACATCATTATATATGACATTACTGTGAAATGAGACAATCAAACGTGATCACTTAAAGCTCACATAAATATAGAAGTCATGCTAAGCTCAGAGCTTTCAAGTGAATAATAATTATTGTTATATTGGTTTCAGGTATTTTGAGAGTATTCCTGGCTGTTATTAAGTGATGACTTCCCCATACATACTTGCAGTTTGGGATGGATGTTTTTAGTGAGGCAAAGATTTTCATTTTTTGTTTTCCAACTTTTTGAAATGAAGAAGCATTAGAGTATGTGTGTGTGTGTGTGTGTGTGTGTGTGTATGTGTATTTTTTAATAGGCTATAGAGAACTTACTTTTAACAGTTGGTAATGGAATTTAATAATTCTGTTTTCCTTTTCTATCTTAAAATATTTGATAAGTGTTAAATGTTTATAGAAGGGGTAAAGACATGAACTTTAAATTTGTGATCTATTGTTTATTTATCAGAACATACTAAAGAATACCATTCAATAAAGCCAACTGATTATCAAGGCATTTCTTAAATCAAAAGTTTGTTTATACTGTTTTAATATATTTTATGTGGGTCAGGGATAGCCCTCCCTCAGGGCCCTTTGGCCTTCTAGACTAGGTATATTGCTTTTTACTGAGATGCTCCTTTCCCTTAGCATCTCTGGGAATATCTGCTATATGAAAGAGATGCTCTTCCAGTTCAAATTGTCTTTCTGTCCCTCTGCAATATTTTTGGAAAATATTAAACTGTCAGAGCAAACAGAAGCAGCCATGCCGAAGATGAAGCATGTGGATCACAACGTTAGTGCTAACACTCTTAGAAAACCCCTGTTTGTTTGGGTGTGGGGTCATTTCCACGAAGTTCACAGGCAGGAAAAGAAACCAGTTGGGGAGCATAGGAGGGCCTCTCCAGTTGTGGAAGTCAAAATCCCCAGTCCTCACCCTGATGGGATGGTGGCTTTCCATAGTGGTCAGCCTGCTTCCCAATTACGATGGATCTTTCTGCAGGAAGGCTGGAATTGGCGGGTATTTTATAAAAAGAGTCACTCCATATTATTATACTATGTTGGTTTCTCCACCCCAAGCCCATAAATCTTAAACTCCACATTCCTTGGTGTGTGGCTCCAGCAGCCTCCCTCTCTACTGCCAAAGTCCCCAGAAGCAGGGCATGGCCCCTTTGCCTTTCCTCAGGTACCTGCTCCCACATCAGGATTTTTAGTAGTTGCTGTTCCCTCTGCCCACAATGCTTTTCCCTCTGATAATCACATGACTGCTTTTGCCTCATGCTGCCAAATGTTTTTTGCTCTAATGTCTCTTTCTCTGTGAGGACTTCCCTAATTATCCTATTTGGAACTGCTATTTCTTCCCACTCTTCCATTTTAGTTTTCACTTACCATCATATAATGACTACATACCTTACTGCTTAATTTTGTTTATTGTTTGTAAACCCTCTGGGAGCAGGAATTTTTGTCTGTATTTTTCATTGTTGTATTTACAGAGCCTAGAAAAAGTGCCTGTCAGACAGGAAGTTGCAGTAAATTTTTGTTGGATGAAGATATGATTGAATGTCCTCATTGGAGATTTTTTCCCCAAGTTATTAGAAAATTTTTCTTCTTTATTCATTTTCTTGGAAATAATGGAAGGAGCACAAATGCAGTGAGGCTGCAGACATGCTTTTAAAGCATGGTCTGTGTTTTAAAACTGTTTCACAAGAATTCCTTGTATTCATGATGCAACCAAAGACAGCATACGGAAAAATATGTGGCAATATAAGCATTGAAGTCATCTCCTGCTGTTTAGGCTGTATAGTAGATCATTTTCACGTATAGATTAAAACCAGCCTAGGCATTTTTGCACCTTCTCATCGACGAGTTGACGAATCTTTGCTCAGTGCTCCTTAGCAGGCTGCAGTGATTCTTGGGCTTCCCGGTCACTAGGCAACAATGTCAGGAGGTATTGGCCATTTTTACTCCTTTTTTTCCCTTCCCCTGATCAACCTTGAAAACTGTAAGCAGCACAACATATTCCATAGACAGCTAGTGGAAGCATGCTTCCTCTGAGGTGCTTATCCAAGTTATGTGCCTAAGATGTATGCAAGTTAAAAATGTATAAAGAAAATTATTCTTACAATACTCTATCAGATACTCAGCTCCCAACCAAACTGGACAACCGTCTTTCCTCATAAATACCAAAATAAGAGCCTATCCCAAGATCTCTCCTTGCTGTGACATACCTTCTCAGTCTTCGTTTATCCACATTTCCAAATGCCTCATGGCTCAGTTCAAAGGCTCTTCCTTATTTTTGTCTCTTATCTTCCCATATGGAAAATGATACTAACTTCTCTCCACCACCAAAGCTCTTTGAGTATCTCTAAATTAAATATAGGTCTTGTATTTTAAGAGTTTACAGGCCAGCTGAAGAACGAGACATGTAGCTATGACCCAGGGCAGAGGTTGATATGCACACCCTTTTTAGATAATTAGAAAAAAATCCAATGAGCACTGCGAGACAGAGTGGTGGCATTAAGGCTTTATTAGCATTAAATCTTTATTTGTTAACATGTTCCTTAAATGAAGGTATCCGTTTCTAAGAGAACACCTGGGTCCTCTGGGAATTCAAGGAAGGACAGGGGCTTTCTGAGGGGAGAAAATGAAATGAGAAGGAAAACTGTGAGGTGAGGGTCAGTGATGGGCCCAGTCCAACGGTGGACTTGGGGCAGATGAGAAGCAAGGGCTGGCGGGAAGGGGGAAAGAGTAGTGCAGGGCAGCAAACGCTGAATGAATGGACTAATTTAATTCACAGTGTCGTCTGCCTTCAGTTAAATGCATTGAAATCTCAGTGTCATAGTGACCACAAGGCTGGGAGTCAAGAGGCCTGGCTGTCCCATTCAATGGCCACATTGCCAGGGAAAATCTTTTACCTTCTAGTACCTCTTTGTGGAGAGATCAAGGGCCTGGATCCAGAAAAATCTGGATTAAATCTTGACTCTTTCATTTACTAGCCATGTGCCCTTAAAAAACGTACTTATCATTGCTGATTCTTAATTTCTATCCATGTAAAACTAGAGATATCATTACTGCATGCTTTTAAAGAGGATAAATGAAATGACAACTATAAAGTAATTGCAAACACTGAGAATGCAGTAAATAGTTATCTTCTTTTTCTTTTCCTTTTCTTCATTTCCTGAATCTATGAAATGATAGAAGTGGACTAGATGCATTGCACATCCCCCTCCCCCCCTTAAAATTCTATGAATTCTTCAGATCCTTCCTCCCACATTCCTGCCAAAAGTTTCCAAGAATCATAAATTAATGCTGCCAGGAAAATGAGTCAAATAAATGACTTCCTTCTTTCTCCCCTTCTGGCATGCTTGTGGTCCCTCTGTTAGCCTTCCTTCCCGTTCCTCCCTCTTCAGAAGGCTGTGTCTTTGGCCTTCTACAGGGAGAGTGCAACTGGTCCTTTCAAAAGAACCCTAAATAATCATGTGTGGAAACAAGGCTTTTTTTTTTTTTAAAGTATTGGCCAACAGGCTAGTCCAGATGTTGGCAGGAGAAAAGAAAACTAAGATTCCTTTGGTGATGATGATTCAGGATTCATGTACTATTTTCTAGAAAAAAAAACCAAAACCCTTAACATCCCTGAGGAAGCAAGGAAATGGGTCCTTGTGATCCCACAGATACAGATGGCTGGGAACTGCTACGCCCACTCCTGGGGATATTTGCCAAGCAGAGGTGCTCTGAGATACCTGGTACAGTGAATGTAGACAAGTTCTTCACAAAGTTTCTGAGGCTCTAGTGGATTCTCCCAGGCTGTCTGCCTGAAAAAAGGGATGGGAACTTCCCACTGCTTGATTCTGATCTTGAAGTCCAGCTGTTCAATCTTGGGTTGGAGTGCCCTGGCTTTCCTCACGACATTTGTTTCCTATTGCTTACAATAGGACTGCTTCTGTTTTGTCCCTGAAGTGTTCTGTATCAAGTTCTTGTTCTCTTTATTATTCCTTGTGCTTACTCCTTGGCTAGAAAAGAACAGAAATGTTCTTATTTGAACAGAATCACAAAGGCACTAAGATTCTTTGACTTTTGGCTCACTTCAAGGAAGGCTCTAATATAAACCCCTTTTCTGGGTAGGAAGGGTTCTTCTCTGCCTTTTACCCTGCGTTTCCCATAGACAGCTTTCAGGGACCCCATGGGGAACCCAGGTTGACCTGCTGCATGTTGGCTGAAGTTGGTCATAGATGTCAAAAACAAAATAGCATTCCAGAAGATAAGGAAGTACATCAATCCTCTTTTTCTAAATGTTAATTTGCTATTTTATTCAAAGAATGTTTGTCATGTTCATACCAGACAAAAAAAAAAAAAAAAAAGTAAATTTCTGCTATTTTTTAATCACTCAGTTTCAATCAATTAATTAGTCAGGAATTCATGTGAAAAGGCCGGTAACTGTGATCTGAACGGACAAGACTTACATGCAGGTTAGCTGAGAAGAGAGATGCAAGATCATGCTTCAACTCTCCTATGATCCTCATTCTGGGCTGAAACTTTTCATCAACCAAGACAAAGCTCCTGGAAAAATAAATTATCTGCGCAAAATTTCCCACTAAAAAATCTAACTCTTGTGGAAGCATCAGAGAATATCTTGAGTGTCATCCATTTCATTAATTTCTCATGGAGCAGAGTGACACCTACTGCTATTATAAGCTAGTATAAGCATAAAATTTAATGTACCTATTTCTGAGAGCATAACTGATAAAGGTGACTGTCCCCAGTGAATAGGAGTGAAGAATTCATATATTGGAATTGATCCAGATTTGGGTTTTATAGGATAAGAAGAGCAAGAGTTGCAAGAGAGATGAGGAAATATTGAGGGCATAACTGGAGGTGTCTAGGGATTGACCTTTTGCTTAAAAGGAAGCTAAATAGATTGGAAATAAATGGGGAGGAGTAATTATGGAGGGACAAGAGGTTTTGGCGAGGTAAAGAATTAGATATGCTGTGCTAAGGTAGTGAATATGTTGAACAGTTAGGAAGTGTTGGCCATTCAGTGAGGAAATTTATTTAAAAAGTTCAGAGGGTGTAAATGAAAGGCCCTCCATGGCTACAAGTATGTAGTACTTTGTGAGAAGAGCTTCAGTGGTTAAGACTGGAGAGTAGGTTGGGGCCAGGCTGAGGGTCTTGTATGCCTGTTCAGAAGCTTCATCCGAAGGCAGTTGAGGTGGAGCAGTAGAGATCTTTATCACGGGGAGCCACAGGAGCAACAGTTGCTTTTAGGATCAGGTAAGGTATGTGAATACTTGCAGGGTGGGGAGAAATTACTGGCTGGACCACTAGTTAAGAGGTTGTATCATCGATACATCTGACAGACAAGAAAGGGTTGGTCTAAGGCAGAGGAGAGAGATTCTATTTGTGAAATATTTCTGTGATAGAACTAAGAAGTTTTTGGTGACTCATTGGGGTGTCAGGGGTGAGAGAAAGGGAGATAGCACAGGATATTCCAAGGTTTTTACATTTGGAGTATTACCATTCATTGAGATTAAAAAAATGGAAACAACAGGTTTTGAAGTGGAATGAGATAAGGCAAAACTAAAGTTTTGGTTAGGGTGTGTGAAAAGAACTCCTGCCACGTAAAGGTGGTCATGTGTCTGGAGCTCTGGACGCACTGGGGCTGGAGCTGAAGATTTACAACTCATGAGCCTGCTGGTGGTAGCTCAGATCTTAAAGGGAGGGTGGGCGTGAATGGAGAAGACGACCAACATGTCATCGTGAGGACTGCTGAGTGTCAGGGTTGAGGCCAGTTAGGAAGCGTGAGAGAAAATGATCAGAGAGGGAGGAGAAGAAGTGGAAATCAATAGGGCTCTGAAAAGCAATGAAAGAGACGGTCGACTGTAATGTGGTTGAACAGAAAATGCTACAGAAAGCCAGGAAAGGTGAACACTAAACGTAGAATTAGATTAGCAATTGCAAGTTTACCAGAGTAGTGTTGGGGGAGTGCTGAGGCAATGGAATGAGAAATGTCCCTGTGCTGAGAAA